AAAAAAAAAAAACAAAAATTGAAATTTGAATGTTTACCTATCATGTCAACTAGCTATTCTAAACTTATTTACCATATATTAACTTGTATATAAATGTTCACAGCTTTTTTTTCCCCTTGGTCCGTCATGGGATCTGAACTCTGGGCCTGGGCCCTGTCCCTCAGCTCTTTAGCTCAAGGCTAGCAGTCTACCACTTTAGCCACAGCACCATTTCCAGTTTTCTGGTGGTTTATTTGGGATAAGAGTCTCATGGGCTTTCCTGCCCAGGCTGGCTTTGAACCATGATTTCTCAGATCTCAGCCTCCTGAGTAGCTAGGATTACAGGTGTGAGCCACTGTGCCCAGCCTTGTTGGTCATGGGGCCTGAACTTTGGGCCTGGGCGCTGTCCCTCAGCTCTACCACTTAAGGCACAGCTCTACTTCCAGCCTTTTCTGCTTATGTGGTGCTAAGGAATGGAACCCAGAGCCTCATGCATGCAAGGCAAGCACTCTACCATTGAGCCACCTTCCCAGCCCTACATTAGCTTTATTTGTAATAATCCAAATAAGAAACATTACAAATGTCATGCAATAGAAAAATACTCGGCAATAAAAAGGAATGAACTATTATTCATACATGTAAAGATGTGGATAAATCTCCAGTAATGCTAACTAAAGAAGTCAGACAAGAAAGTACTGTTTGTTTTCCCTTGTATAAACCTCAAAAAAACAAAAAAAAAAAAAGCAAGCTTAATGGTACTCACTAGACACTGCTGAAAATGAACTATGTAACTTGTGGGTGGGGGGTGAAGGGGAAAACAAAGAGAGCAAGGGAAGGGGTGATATTGTCCAAAAGGAAATGTCCTCATTACCTGACTTACTTAACTGTATCCCCTCTGTATATCACCTTTATAATAACAACTTTTAAAGATTTTATTTTTAGGGCTGGGAAGGTGGCTCAGTGGTAGAGCACTTGCCTTGCATGCATGAGGCCTTGGGTTCGATTCCTCAGCACCACATAAGCAGAAAAAAAAAAGCTGGAAGTAGCACTGTGGCTCAAGTGGTAGAGCACTAGCCTTGAGCTGAAGAGCTGAGGGACAGCGCCCAGGCCCAGAGTTCAGGCCCCACGACCAGACCAAAAAAACAAAAAAACCCAAAGATTTTATTTTTAATTTTATTTTAAATTATATAACTGCAGTACTAGAAAGAAAATGCTTTTAGGTAGGGGTGTGTGTGTGTGTGTGTGTGTGTGTGTGTGTGTGTTTTGTTGGCACTGACAGGATGTAATTAAACATTTTAATTATTAATTTATTGCCAGTCTTGGGGCTTGAACTCAGGGACTGGGTGCTGTCCCTGAGCCTCTTTGTGCTCAAGGCTAGCTCTCTACCACTTAAGCCACAGCACTACTTCTAGCTTTTTCTGAGTAGTTTATAGGAGATAAGAGTCTCACAGACTTTCCTGCCCTGGCTGGCTTCAAACTGTGATTCTCAGATCTCAGCTTCCTGAGTAGCTAGGATTATGGCTCCTGGTTTATAGGAGATAAGAGTCTCGCAGACTTTCCTGCCTGGCTGGCTTTGAACCTTGATCGTCAGATCTCAGCCTCCTGAGTAGCTAGGATTACAGGTGTGAGCCACTGGAGCCTGGCTATTTTTGTATTTTTAAAATTAATTTACTTTTTTTTTTTTTTGTCGGTGGTGGGGCTTGAACTCTGGGCCTGGGCGCTGTCCCTCAGCTCTTCAGCTCAAGGCGAGTGCTCTACCACTTGAGCTACAGCGCCACTTCCGGTTTTCTGGTGGTTTATTGGAGATAGGAGTCTCATGGTCTCTCCTGCCCGGGCTGGCTTTGAACTGCGATCCTCAGATCTCAGCCTCCTGAGTAGCTAGGATTACAGGCGTGAGCCACCAGAACCCGGCTAATTTACTTTTTTATTATAAAGGTGAGTACAGAGGGATTATAGTTGCATGAGTCAGGCATAAATTTCCTTTCATATATTGTCTTCTGTTTCCTCACTCTTTCCCTAAAAAAAGATTTTTTTTATGTTTTATATAGTAAAAATACTGTACAAAGGGGTTACAGTTACATGAGCAAGGTAATAAGTACATTTCTAATCAAGCATTGTTGCCTCCTCCTTTGTTTTTCCCCTACCATCCCTTCCCTCCCACAACCCTCCCCCCCCAAAAAAAATAGATTTTTAAAAATGCAAACTTGGGCTAGGACTGTGGATTACTGGTAGAGTGTTTGTCTAGCATGCATGAAGCCCTGGGTTCGATTCCTACGTACCACATAAACAAACAAAAAAACCAAAAAAGCTAGAAGTGGCACTGTGGCTCAAGTGGTAGAGTGTTAGCCTTGAGCAAAAGCAGCTCAGGGATAGTAGTGCCCAGTCCCTGAGTTCAATCCCCAGGACTGGCAAAAAAACAAAATCAAAAACAAAAACAAAAATACTGTTAATTACATGCTAGTTATTATCTGTAAGAACTGTTAAAAGCAAATCCTTGGGCTGGGAATGTGGCTTAGTGGTAGAGTACTTGCATAGACTGTATGAAGCCCTGAGTTTGATTTTTTTTTTTTTTGCTCGTTGTGGGACCTGAACTCTGGGCCTGGGTGCTGTCCCTCAGCTCTTCAGCTCAAGGCTAGCGCTCTACCACTGGGCCACCTTCCCAGCCCCGCGAGTTTGATTCTTCAATGCCACATATATAGAAAAACCCAGAGGTGGCACTGTGGCTCAAGTGGTAGAGCCCTAGCCTTGAGCACTGAGAGGCTCAGAGACAGAGCCCTAGGGCCTGAGTTTAAGTCCCAGGACTGGCAAAAAAAAAAAAAAAAGCAAACCTTGCTATTGTTGTGGGAATTGAAACAGGAAAAATTTTGTATGAAGAGTGAGAAAGTAGCTATATATAAATATGTTGATCAAACCCAGGGTTTTGTGTTTGTCCTCAGTTTTTAATTTCTTCTTTTTTTTTGGTGGGGGAGTGGTTAATTCAATTGAGGGAGGGGCATACTTTGGTTTTGGAGCCGACCTGGAACTCAAGCTCCTCCTGCCTGTTTGTTTTTTTTTCGTCGTTGTTGTTGTTGTTTTGTCGGTTGTGGGTCGAACTCTGGGCCTGGGCCTGTTCCTCAGCTTTTCAGCTCAAGGCTAGCCCTCTACCACTTGAGCCACAGCACCACTTCCTGTTTTCTGGAGGTTTATTGGAGATGAGTCTCACGGGCTGGCATTGAATGGTAATCCTCAAATCTCAGCCTTCTGAGGAGCCAGGATTAAAGGTGTGAGACACTGTGCTTGGCTGCCTCAGCTTTTTGAGTGCTGGGATTATAGGCATATACTACTACACCAAACCTAATTTCCTTTTATTTTTTTCCTTTTCTTTTTTGTCATTTGTGGGGCTTGAACTTAGGGCCTGGATGCTGTTACTGAGCTTTTTACTTGAGGCTAGCATTCTCCCACTTTGAGCTACAGCTCCACTTCCAGTTTTCTGGTTGTTAATTGGAGATGGGTCTCATAGACTCTCCTGCCCTGACTGGCTTTGAACTTTGATCTTCAGGTCTCAGCCTCCTCCGTTGTTAGGATTATAGGCAATTTTGAGCTGAAGAGCTGAGGGACAGTGCCCAGGCCCAGAGTTCAGGCCCCATGACCGGACCCCCCCAAAAAAAAAAGGATTATAGGGAAGAGCCACCAACGCCCAGTTATCATTTGAAGTCAGTTGATAGTTACTTTAAATATAGTTAAATATCATAAGTGAGTTCTAAAACACAACAAAACAACCATGCACAGTCATTGAAAGTTCAAACTAAAAATGTTGTAATCTGTAAACTGATGACTTACTACCTACCTCTCTGACTCGAAGGAGCTGTGCTTGCTCAATTTTTTTGAGGACATTTTTCACTGAGTATGGAATTTCCAGTTCAGAGCTCACTGGATCTTGGACATTTTGAGCCCATTTCTTGGAAATTACGCTTTCATTTTCTGATTCCGAGTCACTGTTGAGTCTTTTTCGTATTTTGGCTAACATTTTGAAATTTTGGGTAACTTTCTATTATTTCTCCTCCTTCTTCTCCTCCAGCACCTCCTCCTCCTCTTCCTTCTTCTTTTTTGTGTCCACTAGGAATCTAGGAGCCTGCCTTCCAGAGCTTTTGGCTTGCCCTGTTGTCAGTTAGGTTGTTAACCAAATTGTAATCTTATCTGGTGATGTCATAGTGGAACCACTGTGACATTATCTGTGACTTGAACATTTTCAGATTGCTTATTATATGTAGAGAACAAGGCATTCCATATGTGCAATGGTAGATGGGTGGAAGAGGGAGGATGGGTAGGAAAGCATAGACAACAGGAATGCTAAGAAAAATAGATGTAGCTCTATTTAAATGAACTTAAAAACCTAGCTATTCAAGATACAGTGTTTCAAATGTAATTGTTCCTTCTTCTCTCTTCCTGGGCTTTCACTTAAATATTTGTAAACCTGTAATGGAATATTATGTTACAATTTCCCCAGTTGTCCTTTAACTTTTGCCAGACATGTAGTAACCTCAAAGATATTTGGACATCATACTCTGCACTATCCATTCACTTGGTATTTCAAGGAGTCTGGCTGACTGTAGAACGCTTTGAAGTTACATAGTTGTACTTAAAACATTGTAGGTCCTGGGCCTCGGTGGCTCAAGCCTGTAATCCTAGCTACTCAGGAGGCTGAGATCTGAGGATCGAGTTTCAAAGCCATCCCAGGCAGGAAAGTCCATGAGACTTTTTTCTCCAATAAACCACTCAGACAGAAGTGATGCTGTGGCTCAAGTAATAGAGCACTAGCCTTGAACTGAAGAGCTGAGGGACAGCGCCCAGGCCCAGAGTTGAGGCCCCACGACTGACAAAAAAAAAAGTTGTAGGTAATGCTACAGGCTGCTTTCTACCTAATTTGGGCAGATGTGATTGAAAAATGATTTAGGAGACTGGAGCAATTAAAGGACAAGATGTTTTTTATTGGTTCCACAGCTTCATGGATAGCCTTCTTTTGCGGGGGGGGGGGGGGAAGGGGGTCCGGTTGTGGGCCTGAACTCTGGGTCTGGTCTGGGCGCTGTCCCTCAGCTCTTCAGCTCAAGGCTAGCACTCTACCACTTGAGCCACAGTGCCACTTTCCAGCTTTTTTTTCTTTTTGCTAATGTGGTACTGAGGAATCGAACTCAGGGCCTCAGGCATGCAAGGCAAGCGCTCTACCACTGAGCCACCTTCCCAGCCCTCTCCCCCCCCATTTTTTTAACTTTCTACTTAAAAATAGGAGTGAGCCAGACACCAATGGCTCATGCCTGTAATTCTAGCTACATAAGAGGTGAAACCTGAGGATCATGGTTTGAAGCCAGTCTGGGCAGAAACTTAAGATATGTGGCTCAAGTAGTCAAGTAGTAGCGTGCTAGCCTTGAGCAGAAAAGTTAAAGGACACTGCTCAGGCCCTGAGTTCAAGCCCAAGTACCAGCACACACAAAAAGAGAGAGAAGAAAAAAAAATATATATAGCAAATCGCTATGTGCTCAACATCTGAAAGGAGCAAACATTGACATATTTGTCATACTTGTTTCAAATATTTTGTTCATTTTTCTTTTCTGTTTTTGCTTCCAATATTTTTCTTTTTGAGACAAGGTCTTGCTATATAGCACAGGCTGGTCTTGATTCCAAGTTTTCTGGCCTCCCTGAGTGCTATGCATCAGCATGCCTAAACAGATTTTTTCAATAAAGGAAATTTTTTTTTGGGGGGGGGGTCTGGTTGTGGAGCCTGAACTCTGAGCCTGGGAGCTGTCTCTCAGCTCTTCAGCTCAAGGCTAGCGCTCTACCACTTGAGCCACAGCACCACTTCCAGCTTTTTCTTTTGCTTGTGTGGGGCTGAGGCATCGAACCCAGGGCCTCATGCATGCAAGGCAAGCGCTCTACCATTAAGCCACCTTCCCAGCCCCTAAATAAAGGAAATTATTACAGGCAAAGTTGACTTCCCCTTGTGTTGTCTATCCATTTCCAGAAGCAATAACAATCATGAATTTTATGTATCTGCGACTACTCTAAACAGTTGTACTGCAAGTGTAGGCATTTATAAATTATTTTGTAACACTTTATAGGTCTTGAGGGTTTTTTGTTTTTGTAGGTTGTGGGGCTTGAACTCTGGGCCTGGGCACTGTCCCCTCAGCTCTGTAGCTCAAATCTAGTGTTCTACCACTTGAGCCACCATGCAACTTCTGGTTTTCTAGTGGTTTATTGTAGAGAAGAGTCTCATGGACTTTCCTGCCAGGGCTGGTTTTGAATTGCGATCCTCAGATCTCAGCTTTCTGAGTAGCTAGGATTACAGTCTTGAGCCACCAGTGCCCGGCCTAATTAAAATATTATCTAACATTCTTTGACATCAATTCACCTCCTTAAACACTTTGTGGATAACAATATTAGGTTATAGGGCTACGAATATGGTTTAGTTGTAGTGTGCTTGCTTAGCATGCATAAAGCTCTGGGTTTGATTCCTCAATACCACATAAACAGAAAAAGCTGGAAGCGGTGCTGTGGTTCAAATAGTAGAGCTCTAGCTTTGAGCATAGAGAGGTTTAGGGACATGGCTCAGGCCCTGAGTTAAAGGCCCAAGACCAGCAAAATAAGCAAATAAAATAAATTATATTAGATTATAAAAGCCTTTATTTTGTTGTTTACCCTAGTAGGGACAAAGCAACCTTAAAATTTGTCAAAAACTAATTTAGCATTTTTTTCTCTTCCTCTCCCATTTTCCATGCAGCATGGAATTCCTCATCAACTGGGAATTAAGGCTTTTTAAAAGCCAGTTTTAAAATTCTTCTCTTTTAATTGGATAAGCATTTGTTGAGACACTGTTATGCAGTTACCATTATCCTGATCTGAGAAGAATTTATGGTAGGATTTGTATGAAAAACTGAAGAACGACAAAAAATTAAAAAGAATTTAAGATGGAATAATCAAGGGCTAATAAAGGACATGAAAAGATTTGTGGAAAACAGAGTCTTTGGGAAAACCTTATGGAGAGAGATGGTTGATTGACAAATGAAGGCACTACAGACAGAGAAGACATCTTGAGTCATGGCTTTGGAGGTGAGTACACAGAGTTTTTATATGGGGTGGGGGCCATGCAGTTTAATCTCCGAGATTAAGTAGTTTAGGGGTGATGAAATTAGAAAGGTTAAGCTACCATTATCAGCAACTGAATGGTAGGAGTTTGGTATTTAAGTGAGAAACTGAGGTGTTTTCTTTAAGGTAAAGCAAAGAAAATTAAGTTATTAAAAGCAAATGGAATCAGAATCGGATTTAAAAGGTTTTAGTTTAAGTGAAACCTTCAGTCTAGAAGGATTCAAAAAATTATGGAAGAAAATGTTGGAGATCACGACATGATTAAGAAAGATATTTGAAGAAGCATATTAGTGGGACTGAAGGGAAGGATAAAGGAAGGATAAATCTAGCAAAACTTACAGATAGTTAAATATTATTTTTAATGCATTTTTAAAAAATAAAGCACAATCTCAGTGAAGAATTTAATGCATTTTTAAAAAATAAAGCACAATCTCAGTGAAGAGGCTATTAGCATTAACTCAAACGCTGTAGCATAATAACCTATTTCCTGCGAGTTTAGGGCAAAGTTCTTTTTTTTTTTTTTTTTTTGGGTCCGGTCATGGGGCCTGAACTTTGGGCCTGGGCACTGTCCCTCAGCTCTTCAGCTCAAAGCTAGTGCTCCACCACTTGAGCCACAATGCCACTTCCGGCTTTTTTCTTTTTGCCTATGTGGTGCTGAGGAATCAAACCCAGTGCTCTACCACTGAGCCACCTTCCCAGCCCTAGGGCAAAGTTCTTTAAAGGTGTGTCAGGAAAACTCGGCAGTCCTAGACTTCAGTGTTAAACTGGGAATATTTTAGAATGATTTCACTCATTTTACTATAGTAAGCATTTTGTACAGAAGATGTAATAAGTAAAAATAGTTGTACTTCAGCTTTTTTTTTTTTTCCTGTAGCTTAGGGGGAAAAAAAAGTATTTTATTTCCCCCCCCTCCCCCCCGTAAGCCACTACGGGTTTAGCAGGCTTAGGTGTTTTAGTACGTTTCGTACAAGATAGGCTTTTAATTAGATCTGGATAGTGAAATGTGAAAACCGCAGTGTTACTAGCACTGGGGTAGCTTAAGAAGCTTCGGTGAAATTTTCTTTCTACCCCGTGGCCCAGAATGGTGCCTCCTATTGATCATCTGCCCTCACCCCCTACTGCAGACCACAGATAGTACATTCCACACCGCCTGAAGGTAGTGCCAGAGTTGAGCGCGCCTTGGGCTCCGTCTCCTCCAGGAAGTAGTTTGTTCGTGAAGCGGAAGCAGTTGCTGTTTCAAGGGAGGCGGGACCGGGCTGGTGAGGCCGCAGCGGCTGACGGCGGGGGAGGAGCCGGGTCCACTGCCGGGTGGAGGGGAAAGGCGAGTGTCCTTATCCTAGCGATTGGGGCTCGGGCCTGTGAGCCAGTTGGAGTCGCGGCGGCGGGAACGAGCGGAGGGTCCGAGTGGAGGAAGATATGTTGCTCTTCGTGGAGGTGAGCGGATTCAGTTTTCTTGTTCCCCTCGAGGAGAGCTCCGGAGCGTGGCGGCGCCTGCGGGTCCCAGCGCCATGTGACTTTCCAGGCCCCACACGCCGCGGAGCCGGCAGACAGGCTGACACAGCACCTGGGCCGCGCAGGCCCGCCGCTGCCCGCCGCGCGCCCCCCACACTGCGGGGAGCCGTGGGGGCGAGGCGGCGGCGGGGGAGAGGGGAAGGGGGGGTGCCGGGGACGTGGCTGGCGCGGCGTGATGGCCAGCGGGGAAGGAAAGTGTCCCATATGGACCTCCTGAAGGAGGCAGACGGGCGGGGGGCGGAGTCTGTCGGGGAAATGGGTAATCAGGTGGGCGCCCTCTGCGAGGGAGACGCGGCCTCGCGGGGCTGTCTGGGAGGGAGGTGAGCAACATGTGGGATCGCGGGGCGCGGGGGGGGGGCAGGGGGAGAGGGGAGGGAGGAGAAGGTGAAATGCGGTTACGTGGGGTTTGGTTGTGTTTTTCTTTTAAATTGCCCTTGGAGTGTTTTTTTGGAAAGCGAAAGCGTTTTAGCAACGTCCACCAAATTTTGTTAGGTCCTCGTCCTTCTCTCTCTGGAACGTTCGGGGAGTGGTTGGGGAAAGCGAGTTACTGTGAACCGAGAAGCCAATAGGCTTTGGAAGCCTTGAAAGGCACCGCTTTGACCTTTTGTAAAGTTACTCTGGCTGCGGCTGCGTGTTGCGGAGTGATTTTGTGAACCGATTAAAAAGCTCTTTAAAAGGAAAATCCCAAGAATGAGAAAACTTCATCTGAGAAAAGCCAATTTGTGTGTGTGTAGGGGCTATTTGAACAATAGATATAATTTTGTTGCTTTAACGGGGACTGCAGTTGTACTCATGTTGTTTCAAGGTAGTGATAGCTGTCTTACTGAAGTACGAAGTTTAGTTTTCCTCATTTCTGTCCTGTTGTGTGCAGCGAGTATCAGCTGACTGCCTTTGAGTAGATTCCAGATCATGTACTTACATTGTGGAAACGTCAAACCAGCAAAGCTGCAACTTGGCAAATGGGCATTTGTTTACCGTGCCTGTAAAAAGAATCTTCAATGAGGAAAGGAATTTATAGGTTCTAAAATGCACTCGGGGCTAGTCTTTAGGGGGACGGGGGCTCTGGAGTCGTGTGGGAGAATTTTACCCTGTAGTGCTCTAGTATAAAGTAAATGCTTTTACTTTTTTCTCCAGTCTGTTACTGGGAAGCTGATGAATTTGAGATCTTAAAGTTAGGTGTTTTTTTATTTTGTTTTGGTAGAAATACTGGGATTTGAACTCCGTCTCTTATTCTCACACCCTATTACTTGAGCCACACCTTCACTTACGCCTTTTTTTTTTTTGCTAGTTAATTGGAGATGAATGTGTCTTAGATTTACCTCCCAGGCTGGCTTTGAACAAGGATCCTTAGATCTCAGCTGTCCGAGTAGGGCACATTATAGGTGTGAGTCACCAGCTCCCACCATGTTAGGTTTTTAGTTAATTAATTGGGGGGGGGCAGCATGGTTGTGGGGCTTGAATTCAGGGCCTGAACACTGTCCTTGATAATTTCTGCTCAAGGCTACAATTCTACTACTTTCGAGCCACAGCTCGGCTTCGGTTTTTCAGGTGGTTAGTTGGGGATAAGTCTCATCAACTTTCCTGCCTGGGCTGACCTAGAACCATGATCCTCGATCCTTAGATTTTAGCCTCCTGAGTAGCTAGGGTTACAGATGTGAGCCCGGCTTAAGTTGTTTTTTTTTTTTGTCGGCCGTGGGGCTTGAACTCTGGGCCTGAGCGCTATCCCTCAGCTCTTCAGCTCAAGGCTAGCGCTCTACCACTTGAGCCACAGCGCCACTTCCGGTTTTCTGGTGTTTTTTTTTGGAGATAGGAGTCTCATGGTCTTTCCTGCCCGGGCTGGTTTTGAACCGCAATCCTCAGATCTCAGCCTCCTGAGTAGCTAGGATTACAGGCATGAGCCACCAGTGCCCGGCTTAAGTTGGGTTTTAAAAAGACACTGCTACCCTAGATAGAATATGTCCAACCTTAATAATAAACATTTATTGGAATATTCCAAGCAAATCTTTACTTTCTTTTTTGGTCCAAGACTAAGTCTCAAACTCAATACATGATATTCTCACTCTGGCTTGTGCTTTGCCAACTGAGCCAAATAAACAACCCTGTTGTTTCTTTCTTTCTTTCTTTTTTTGGTCAGTCGTGGGGCTTGAACTCTGGGCCTGGGCCTGTCCTTCAGCTCAAGGCTAGCGTTCTACCACTTGAACCACAGCGCCACTTCCGGCTTTTTTCTACTTATGTGGTACTGAGGAATTAAACCCAGGGCCTCATGCATGCAAGGCAAGCACTCTACCACTGAGCCAACTTCCCAGCCCCGGTTGTTTTCTTTCTTAATTTTTTGTTTCTTCCAAATCTTCCAAACACTTTTTATTTTTTATTTTGGTGCCAGTCCTGGGACTTGAATTCAGAGCTTGGATACTGTCCCCCAGCTTCTTTTACTCAATTGGAACTCAATTGGAAGAAGAGCTGTGGCTCCAAGTGGTAGAAGCACTAGCCTTGGGAAAAAAAAATCAGAAACAACAGACTTATTCAGTTATTCAGGGACTAAAGTTTGAAGTCTGGCTTGTAGAACACAACTCTCTTCCTTTTACAACTTACTTTTGCAATTTCCCCTAAGGGAGTGGTTCTTCTCCCTCCCACCACCCCTCCCCACCCAATCCTAGGGCTTGAACTCAAGGCCTGGGCAATGTCCTGAACTTCTTTTGCTCACTCTACCACTTGAGCCACAGTGCCACATCAGCCTTTTCTGTTTGTATGGTACTGAGGAATTAAACCCAGTGCTTCCTGCCTGCTAGGCACTAAGCCACATTCCTAGCCTCAAGGCAATGATTTTTTTTTTGTTGTTGTTGTTGGTTGGTCATGGGGCTTGAACTCTGGGCCTGGGCACTCTTCAGCTCTAGGCTAGCTCTCTACCACTGAGCCACAGCACCACTTCTCGTTTTCTGGTGGTTAATTGGAGATAAGAGTCTCAAGGATTTTCCTGTCTGGGCTGGCTTGGAACTGCAGTCCTCAGATCTCAGCCTCCAGATTAGCTAGGATTACAGGTGTGAGCCACCAGAGCCTGGCAGGCAGTAATTCTTTTTTTTTTTTTTTTGTCGGTCGTGGGGCTTGAACTCTGGGCCTGGGTGCTGTCCCTCAGCTCTTCAGCTCAAGGCGAGCGCTCTACCACTTGAGCTACAGCGCCACTTCCGGTTTTCTGGTGGTTTATTGGAGATAGGAGTCTCACGGTCTTTCCTGCCAGGGCTGGCTTTGAACCGCGATCCTCAGATCTCAGCCTCCTGAGTAGCTAGGATTACAGGCGTGAGCCACCAGCGCCCGACTCAGGCAGTAATTCTTAATGTAGGTTGTTGGGTAGAACTGAAGGAGTGTGTAAGCTTGGATGAGGAAAAGCTTTCCCATTTGCTTTACCTAGTTTCTAACTAAAATCTAGAATATTTACATTTTAATGGTAGTAACAGGCTCTGTGACTTTGTTAACAGAGAAATCAGGTAGGTTTTTTTGTCGGGTGTGGGGCTTGAACTCAGGATTTGGGTGCTGTTCCTGAGCTTTGTGCTTAAAACTAGGCCTGTAGCACTTTGAACCACAGTCCACTTTGAGTTTTCTGGTGGCTAATTGGTGATAAGAGTCTCATGGATTTTTCTGTCCAGGCTGGCTTCAAACTTCTATCCTCAGATCTTGGCCTCCTGAGTAGCTAGGATTACAGGTGTAAGCCACTGACTGGCACTTGGCAATATTAAAGCATTTTTATTATCATATTAGACTTTTAAAAATATTTTGATAACTATTTTCAGTTGCTGTACTTTGTGGTCCTTATATATTTTTACTATCTTTTTTGGTAGTAGTAGGGGTTTAACTAGGCCTTTTGCTAAAATAGTATTTATGAAACATTAAATTAGCATTTAAGAAACAGTATGACTAAATATTACTATAGTAATAGGGACATATGTATAGTTCTTACTATAGGTCAGGTTAATTAGTTGTTCCTTTGTATCCATGTATATATCTTGTGTACATACATACATAGATACATAGATACATATATATATCTTGTATACATATATATCTAACCTACCTACTGAAGCTTAACAGTCTGTTTGACATACTAGTCCCATTTTAGAAGTAAAGGAACTAAAGTACAGGGGCCTAAAACTTTCCCAAGATTATAACTAATGTTGAAGCTAGAACTAGAACTTTTTTTTTCTAATAGTCTTTTTTGTTGTTGTTGGTCGTGGGGCCTGAACTCTGGGTCTGGGTGCTGTCCCTCAGCTCAAGGATAGCACTCTACCACTTGAGCCACAGCACCACTTCCGGCTTTTTCTGCTTCTGTGGTGCAGAGGAATCAAACCCAGGGCCTCATGCATGCAAGGCAAGCACTCTACCACTGAACCATCTTCCCAGACCTCTAATAGTCTTTTTTTTTTTTTTTT